AGAAGAGAGAGAGAGAGGATGAGAGAGAGGAGAGGGAGAGAGAGAGGGAGAGAGAGAGAGAGAGAGGAGAGAGAGGAGAGAGGAAGAGGAGGAGGAGAGAGAGGAAGAGGAGGGAGAGAGAGAGAGGAGAGAAGAGGAGGGAGAGAGAAGGGAGGCAAGTAGGGAGGAGAGGAGGAGAGAGACGAGAGAGGGAGGGAGGGAGGATGCGAGAGGAGAGGAAGAGGGAAGGGAGAGAGAGAGAGAGAGGAGAGAGAGAGAGGAAAGAGAGAGGGGGGAGGGATGCGAGAGGAGAGAGAGAGAAGGGAGAGGAGAGGGAGAATGGAGAGAGAGAGAGGAAGAGAGGAGACAGGGGAGAATGGAGGAGAGAGGAAGAGAGGAGACAGGAGAGAGAGGAAGGAGAGAGAGAGAGAGAGATGGAGAGAGAGAGAGAGAAGAGAGAGAGAGAGAGAGAGGGAGGAAGGAGAGAGAGAGAGAGGAGGGGGGGGGGGGACAGTGTTGGGAGAGGGAGAGAGAGTGTGAGGGGGATAGGATAAGGGAGAGAAAGGGGGGTGGGGAGAGGGGGGGGTAAGAGAGAGAGAGAGAGAGGGGGGGGTTGGGGAGGGAAGAGAGAAGAGTGAGGGGGATAGGATAAGAGAAAGGGGGGTGGTGTGTGTGAGAGGGGGGGGAGGGAGGAGGAGTGTGAGAGGGATAGGGATAAGGCAGAGAAAGGGGAGGGAGAGAGAGAGAGATGAGAGACGAGAGAGAGAGACGAGAGAGAAGAAGAGAGAGAGAGAGAAGAGAGAGGAAAGAGAGAGAAGAGGCGGGGAGTCTGGGAGAGGGAGAGAGAGAGAGTGGGGGAGGATAGGGGAAAGGGGGAGGAGAGGAGAAGGAGAAAGAGAGAGAGAGAGAGTAGGAGATTTACCACCACAACACCATCCATTCACCTCCCTTTTCAGTGTGATCCTTGTGGAGTTTGGGGAGAACGGCAGCACGGAGGTCATCATCGTCTCGGGCTACAACGTGAAGAACATCACAGTCCAGGACGACAAGCCTTCCCCTAGCCTTGTCAGTGCCATTGATAACCTCTTCGAAAAGAACAGGTAATGGAATGCTTCAGCCGTGGATAGCCGAATTCTGCCATTGTGATGTTTGATATCGATTATCACCTTCTTTCTAAGTCAGGGCTTTTTATATTTTTCTTCCTTCTTTTTTCTTCTTTTTCTTCTCTTTTTTTTCTTCTTCATTTTCTTCTACTTCATTTTCTTCTTGTTTATTTTCTTCTTCTTCATTTTCTCCTTATTCTTATTCTTATTGTTCTTATTCTTCATCTTCTCCTTCTTCTTCTTCTTTTCCTTCTTCTCCTTTTCTTCTTCTTTTTGTCGTGTTAGTATAGCCTATTGGTATGCCCTATAGTTTTTATTTGTTTGCAAGAATTTTTTCCTGTTTTCTTTCCTCTCCCTCTTTCTTTTTTTTCTGAAGGCCTAGTGGAATAATGTAGGCTGTGAAACATATCGATTTGTATGTAAAAACTTCCTTTATATAAGGTAGAAGTAAAACACTTTTTATAAGATTGTGTATTTAAGGATGAGAGAACAGTTTTGAAATCCTCATAGATTTTGTTTGCCTGTCAAACCTGAAGCTAACATTACCTTTACTTCCGGTTGAGTAGGACCTAAGTGCTACTCTTTGTTGTGGATGTGCCTGTTAGCCCCTTCCTTGGTTATTTTTCCCATATGACAATCTTGTTACAATGTTCGAGGGCCTAGACTAATGAATCAGATATTTTTGACCATGCTTTGTATTGATTAGTCTCTATTTATAATTTTAGTTTTATTGTATTATCTAAAAAATATAATGGGTTTTGCATTATTTAACTCTCATGATGACTTAGATGACAAATAAGAACAAAATGTATTTATCATCATATCCAATACCTGTTTAATAAATCAAATGATCAAACTGTTATCAGTATACATGGCTTTAATGTAAAGCAAAATGCAGTACTACACAACCTCTGGTGTCCATGGTTTACATAAATTGGGAGCAGGTTTGTAAAGTTTCAGATTGGTATATAAATGCTTCAGATGGATTGGCAAATACTTCACATGGATGCTTATAAAGTAATATGGATAGAGAATGGTATATGCCGTATGCACTGTGAAGACATCTCAGTTTGCAAGGAGCTATAGCCACTCTTCATAACAACAGAGTAGGTTACGGTGAGATTGTGCCATGACATTTAGTAGCTATTTTAGTGGCACAGGAAAGGAACACAAATTATTGAAATTATAATCCCATATTGTTTTCCTTTCCATCAGCACACTAATATTAAAGAACAAATATATATTAATATAAAGGAAGTCATGCTAACAGTGAACATCTTTATTCGTCAGAGAGGGTTGCACAGAAATAGACATGGGGAAAAAAACAATTGAAGACATGACCACTCATTTGTCATACGGTGACATCAGATAAATCAAGAAAAAGAAATGATGAATGCCAGATTTTGACTTTTCCGTATGTAAAAACAACAGAATTTTGAGATGGGCTGTGCAAAGATATATTCAAAATGTTTCTTATACATAAACAATGTGACTGAAAACTGAATTCAACTTGCCTCTCATTTTCCAAGAGAGATAAGTATGAAATAGAAAATGGAGACTAGGAAAGATTTAAGGCTTTGTTACTCATATCCAAAATAGGGCATAAATATGTATAGACATTTACAGAAGTAAACTTTTAGATAGTCTTTATATACTCTGTTCTCTTGAACTTAAACATATATCCATCTCTTCCTTAGCTATAAACAACTGTGGGGTATATAACTTCACCGAAAATGTAACCTCGGTTAGCCGCATCTCTTGGTTCTTAATTGTGCGCTGCTCTTTACATATTTGTGTCTCTTTAATATGGACTGTTGCCTCACCAAGTAATTTATTTTTATTTTATGTTATTTATTTTTTTTTTTATATTTTTTTTTTTCCCATTTTGTATACAGATATCAAACTTTTGGTTTACTAATTTTTAAGGACTCCAGCATATATATCATAATTTTACTCTATCACAAAACCTACATTCAATGCTATTACACAACAATTTGTTGATTTTTTATTTTAGTTTGTGCAGAGGGTAACAGTAGTTTTTTTTTTTTCTCTCTCTCTCATTGAACACTGTTATCAATGAATCCTTTTGAATCAGTCCCTAAAGATGTGATTTTAGCTTTTCTTTAAGATGTATTTTGTTTTCACTCCCATATGCATAGACGGCAATTTGGGAAGTGCTTGTGTTAAACTACAGGCCTTTTCTGCGATTTCTTCAGGTGACCCAAGATTAAAAGGATAAGGATGCTCTAAATGTATTGACATAAAAAGGACATTATTTACTGTAAAAAAAAGTAAAATATGGTTGTATTACAAACCATAGTCCTCATTCTGTGTTCCACATATTTACAGCAAACTATGTGTGTAATTGGATTTCCATTTTAAAAAGAAGTAAAATGGCCGTAGTTTTGAAACGTTGGTAGTAAAGCAAGCATGCATGTGAATGTTTTATAAGCATGTCTGTTCGTTTTATACATAGAGGTATAATGTACCAGAGATGGTTTGTTTAGTTCTTGTTTTTTTCTTTTTTCTTTAAGGTATTATTAATGAATTTTATCCCTCAGATACATTACAGTAGCCAGGAGCTGACGGCACGACGAGAGAGCCTTTGCGTATGGTTGGCAGAAAACCGTGTGCCATACACAGTTAGGGATGACATGAGTGTAGAGGTAATATAACTCCTTTCATAATGTGAATATGTATATCTAAATTTTTAAATATTAATTAGTTTCATGACCTAACTTATATTTTGATAGTCCATGAAATAACATCCTTTGAAGTAAACAGTTCTACTGCATTTACCATTCACATCTACCATCAGGTTTTGCAAACTGCAGTAATAGCCCAGCCATATGAACCAGGCTCAGTCCAGTGCACCAATGAAGTAGTTCTGGACAAAGTGATGAAACTAGTGCAGCAAATGCCTGTTCAAGCTGCCACCACAACTTAAAATGCCCTGCTAGTGTACTAATTGCAGGATACCAGTATCTGCTTAGAGCGCAACAGAATCATGTGATATTTCAGCAGATGTCTGGCCTCCTATTCTGTACAGCTGAATCATGTGTCTGAATCAGTTGCTAAGGCTGGTACACACCAAAGTTGATGTAGTGAAGTGTATGCCTTGGCCATTGTACCACCAAAGCTATCAGTCTTGCTACTACAGTATTATATTTATTGAGATATCTCTCAGCAAATTTAGTCTTACCAGTAAAGTAAAATAGTTCATATAATGTGCTGATGACAGTCAGATGTCTTTTTGTACAGGATTATATGCCTGATTTCATATCTTCATGTAACCACCTTGTCTGAAGACTTAACTAATAACCTTAAGGAAAATTAATGTCATATTTTGTTCCCATAGTAAAATGAAAAGCTTGCAGCCATCTAATATTCCATGAAAGTATACTACCAATATTACAATCTTAAAATCCATTTTTCTATGTAATTATTAGAATGACAGTCCACCTTAACAGCCCTTGACTTGTTTTGGCTTCCTCGTACTTTTATCAGAGGTTGATTCAATATCAGCATGTATATTTGGATATATTTATTGTTGAGTAAATATTTGATATGTAATTCAGAGGAAAAAAAAACATTTCATATTGAAAAGATTACAATGTCCATACTTATGTTATTCAGGTACTGAAAATTAGTTTTAGAAATTATGAATATGTAATCAGAAACATAATCATTCCAAAAGGTAAAAAAGGAGTTTTTTGGGGAGGGGGCTATGTATATGTATAAAAAAAGGACTTCAAACAGGAATGCCACTTTGAAAAGGTTGATCACTTCAGGGTATGTTTCTGATATTAACTAGGACAAATTGTTGTATACAATTGGGTGGTAAGTAAGGTAATTTATATGTAATGATTTGTCACTGGCTGTGAATATTTATTGATTTGTATAAATAGTAATTGCTCAATATAAGGAAACCTGGTTGGAAGCAGTGGTGGAGGAACCTAAATGCTTTAACCTCATGTGACTGGAAATTATCATGGAGTAACTCTAAATTTTATCACTACACATAAAACTTTTGACATAAATTTAAGGAGCTGACTTTCTTGTGAAGATTAAACAGCCTCTATTACAGAAGACAATGCCTTATGCTTCACATACTTAGGTTAATAGCAACGCACAGAAGAATAAAACCAAGCATAAATGTAAGCGCTCTTGAAATTTTGGGTCATAAGATAGTAGTACTCTTGTGTGTTTATTTCAAAGTGTATGCATGACTTTTGATTGTACTGAAAAAAATGGAACTCGGATTTCTGTGAGAACATCATGATCGAAAATTGAAGGGAGATAGCATACACATAGATTTCGGTATTTGAATATGAAAGTAGCCATTGCTGATATTGCTCTTTGGAATATTTGTCTCCTGTGCTTCCATAATCATTCATTAAAATCACTTTGATAATGAGGGTAATGATAATGATAAACAAAATTATTTGTTTAATGATAATATTAGTCATGATGAATATTAAATGGTAAAATAATATGGCTTTGAAATACTAGAATGTTAGATGAATCTAAAAGTGAGAATTATTATACACAAAATACAGTGAAAAAAGACAAAAGTATGTATTATGAATGGTAACTAGCTTTCTCAATGTTATTCTGAACAGATGATATAATCTTTATTACTGAAAGTGACTGAAAGATATCATGATCGCTATTCTTACTATGATTATAATTCTATTATCATTATCCTCATTGTCATTATTACGTGTTATTAGTATTGACTATCATTACTGCATTAATTAGTTTGATCATTTTTTTTTCTTTTTGTTTTCAAGATGAAATTACGGTCTCCCATATCACTACTATCTTAATTATTATTTTACTTAATTTTTTTCTCATGCTTTGACCACAAAAGCAATCTAATTCCTAAATTTCTTGAAACTACTAATATTATAACATAGGCAATGAATTTTGTAGTTGATTTTGAAAATGAGGAGCAAGATCAAATTAATAGAATCAAATGTTTTCATTACATGTAGAAATTCTGATGCAATTCTTGTTGACTAAATGAAGTGACTGTTGCAAAGGAAGAAAGAAAGAAAAAAAATGCAATATAGATTTTTTTTTTTTTCCCAGCACAGGATTTTTTTTTTTTTTTTTTTTTTTTTTTTCTGTTATGTTATTATTTTTCCCTCACTAAGAACACATGAGATTATATATATATATCCATGAATGTAGTAAGTGAGAAGTCTTGATTAGCGATTCCTGGTACGATGCATTTTAGTAGAACCTACCTGGAATGTATTTCCTGCCCTGGAGGAAATAGCAGTCCGTGATGGACTTATTTCGACTGGCTTTGGTGCCAGGAGTGGGGCCAGTAGCACATTTTAAATGTTGTGTGATTGAGCCTTTTGGTATTCCTGCTTCACGTTTGTGTGAGGTATACATAGGTATATATATATATATATATATCTTCAGGCATGATGTCGCAATGTTGGAGTTGATGAGCACTATATAATGACTCAGTTGTCCTTCTCCTTGTGATGTAGTTTGTAAATGGATGTGCTCATGGTCGATAACGACAGTGCATGTACTTTCATAACTTATGTATAAACGCAACTCGAGGAAACTTTGTAACCATTTACCCTTTAGTAAATATGACTGGTTGGCTGTGACAGTTTTGGGTGAGAAACATAACTTACATTCCAGTTGGTTCTATTGCTATATATATTATCTTAAAATGGCTATATATCATCAATCTTCCACCAACAATATTAGCTAATCTTGCACATATATTTAAAGCTTCTCTCCCCTCCCCCCCTCCTTCCCTCCTCCCCACAATATTCAACTTCATTATCATTATTATCCCAAGAATCTAGAAGGGTAAAGAAGCAAGTGAATCATCTGCTGTCAAATTTCAAACTTTGAAATATCCTTTTTATAATTTTGTGAAAATAGTTGCCTAGAAAAACTCCTTTGAAGTGCAACAGGTTACCTTTTCTTGTTGTGATGTATTATTTTGTGTTTATAAAGCTTTTAAAATGTTCTTTTATTATAGGTAAGGACTTCTATCCCCATCATATTCAGACTGAACTTTTCCTTTTAAAGCTTATTGGTAAAGGTACCATGTACACACTTTCTTTAGTTGGTGGGTTATGAAAGTTCATTTATTGACACTTATTTGTTGTCTGATATGCATTTCCCTGAACTTCAGCATGATTCATTCTCTTTTTACCTTCTGTGTATGTTTGCCTGCGATCATTTTGAGATGAGAACTTCGGTATTTAAAAAAGAATGGAAGGTTCGTTTGGCAGTAGATGTTCAGGAGTTATTTATTTCCCTCCTGTACATTTCTTGCATATTAGCACTGAGATATATTCTTGATTAAATAGTGCAGTGCAATGTTACCTAATGTGGTGACTTGATGTGTTAGATGCAACCCATTAAATTTTCTTTGTAGTGTGCTTTATATTTTGAGAAATATCATTTCATACCAACACTAATACAGAAAATTCATATAAATCATCTGTATTATACTAGCATAGTTGACAAATAATTTGTAAGATATTTATATACAATTGTTGACTGCAATAACTTTCATTGATGGAATTCTGTTCTTAAAGGTTGTTATCACAGAAAATAAACTATTGGTGCTTTGGTGAGTCATGGATGTGCATCATGGGGAAATATTATGTAATTATCACAGGAAGTTTGATGTCTTAGGTTTAGGTTTCAGTGAGTGTGTTACTCTTTTTTTTTTGGAATAAAGAGAAGTTTACAAGGAGAGGAAATAGCTATCTAAATATATTTTTTTCAGCAAAATTTCAACAATAGGATATAAGAAAGTTAATCAGTTTATTAGACACTAGTCTTTACATTTAAAGAAAACAGGTTATAGTGTTCACATGTTTAATGGATTAATCTAATTGGCAAAATTCAAAGAAATTGTCAACTTCTTACAAACAACTGGTTCTCATATATGATAATAATGGAGGAGAAACTATACTTAAGTGTTTATTTATCAAATATATATAGATTGCATTATATATTTTATATTCAAGGAAGCATTCTAACAGCTGAGTGCTTCACATAGACAGCAAAGTGTTAGACATAATAATTACAGGAGATTGTTACTGGTGCTAGTGGTTTATTATCTGTGTACGTTTATTTTTTATCCAAAATATTATAAAGGCAGGTTATTTAGCAATTCTCTTGTTTACTGTAATTTTCATATATGACTATACCTATATAATTGTGGCAAATATATGGCTTGGTGCTTCATGTAATTTTAGAGATTAATGATGTTGCCTTTTATGTAAACTCGTGTGATTATGGTGGATGGATAATATCTTGTTATATGTATTGCAGGAAATGAGTAGATTACGTGTAATGTTCCACAGAAGTTAGTAGACTGCATATTCACCATTGTGTCATAGTGTCTAATATTCATAGAATAGAGCCTCATAGAGCTAGACTTCGATGGCAGAAATAATACATATTGCGGTTTATTTTGAAAGTACTCTTTATCTGTTTATGAAAAAAAAAAGTATTTTTACTCTAAATGGATTTTATTCTATGAATTTTTGGTCTAGGCTTCAACAGTCATTTTCAGTAACTTCTAAGGTACTAAGGGAAAGTATAAAGATACTACGTAATTTTATGAATGGCTGTGATGACATTTTTGCACTATATTTCATTTGACAAACTTATACTTATGTCTTTTTTTTTTTTCACAGGCAAATCTTTATTTCTCCATGCAAGGTCTATCGAGTACATGGTAGTTACTTATTGCTGTTTCTCTTTTTTTTCTTTTTTCTTGTTTATTTAATACAAACATTGGTCTGGCACAGTGAAATCAGATGATAATCAAGCTAACATTGTTAAATGACATCAAAGAGATATGAAAATTACCATTAGATTCCAAAATTGGACTAATTACAGTTGTTATATTTATATAAAATTTTTTGTAATCTAGTGTTGATTACTCTAGAATAAGGTGAATTTCATATCCTCAGTTGTAGTGTAGGATTGACCATATACTGCATGAAAGCTGAATTTCATGGTTTTATCTGGAACTTTTCTGTAGACCACTACGGCAACTTCGTAACAGCCGAAGGAGATTATTGAATTAAGGTATATCAATACAGGCAAGCTATTCAGGCATCATCTCCTACGACATAGAATATCCTTGATATAATGATCTGGTTACTGTAACTTAAGGAATGTAATGTTATTTACGTTGGAACTTGTGTGTTTGCATTTCAACATTTTTTGTTGAAATATGGCTGTGCTTTCATGACTTGTCTTTTTTATTTCCATTTATCTTCGTGGAAGTATGTTTGAGTTCGTTCTTGCTTAATAACTGTTGGCTCTCTTCAGCTATTCCGAATTGCTATTTAGTTCAGTCAGTTTATTAAGTCATTTATCTATCATTGTTATTATCACACACCAGTTTATATATTCAACAGATGGAATGTTTTAACCTCATGCTTTTCTTGGTTATTTGCTTGTTTTATACTCTGGGTAATTACAGTCGCTAGTTGTTTGTTAGTGTTAACAATAGCACTGAGGTAACTTCTTGCTTGACTGTAGTTGTTGCTGCCATTATATTACATTTAGTAATATAATATTTGCTGTTATTCTTTTTTTCAGTATAATAATAATCATTGTAATTGTCATTACTTTTTTATTTATGTTTATTCATCCTCATCATAATCCTGGTATTCATTATCATATAGATTACTTTTTCTATGGGGCGCTGTTGTATGTGACTTTTAATATCCAATTCATAACATTAAACCATGTTGATGTTGAAGTCTTATTATAGCTCAGTTATCTGAAGCACTACACTAAGTGTTAAGGATTATATTATCAGATGGTAATCAGTGTATGTGTAAGCACAGTATATGTCTTGCTTGACCTGTACAGTATTTACAAAGTTTATAATATGCCTAACATGTCAAAACCCTATCACTTAATGTAAATAACATAAAGACTAAATGAAATAGGTTTTGATACCCTATTGTTTTGAAATTTATTACTTCAGAAAACCAAAGTATCTTACAGAAGTTCTTCTAATATCAGCCTACTTTACGTTACATTTTCAAGAGTAGTCGCCATGCATTTGACTCATTGTATGTGTTTCCCAGTTTCAATATCACAGCTAGTTGGGAGATCCATATATGATAAGATAAAGATGCAACATCTTTCTCTCCCCAAACTTTCCTACATATTCAGAATTACAATAATAGCAATGTAACACAGGAAGTACATGGTTGCTGTGAAGGAGAAAGGAGTAATGGCTCTAATTTGACAAAAATAATCAGGGTATTGATGTAATGAAAGATTAATTAAGAGAGAGAAGACAGGAGGAATATCAGACACTGTAATATGGCCTCCACCCAGAGGGTCTTTACCTTGAAGATCATTAAAGTCCATACAAAATGTGAATTTTTGAAGTGTAAACTTAAATTAAATTTGCTAGAATGAAATATAGTAATTGTAATATTGCAGTATGAAGTGACACTTGCATAAGCTTACTCATGCATACCTACACATTACCCTGCCCCCTGACACACTCACACTCACACCTCTCTCACTCTCTCATTCACATTCACATTCACATTCACATTCACACACTCACTCTCACTCTCTCTCACTCTCTCTCATTCATACTCTCATTTTCACAAACACTTTCATTCACACACTTTCATTCACACACTTTCATTCACACACTTTCATTCACACACTTTCATTCAACACACACTTTCATTCACACACTTTCATTCACACACTTTCATTCACACACTTTCATTCACACACTTTCATTTCACAACTTCACTTCACACTTCAGTCAGACACTTTCATTCACACACACACACACACACACACAACACACACACACACACACACACCATCTCAACACACACACACACACACACACACACACACACACACACACACACACTTTCATTCACACACACACACACACTTTCATTCACACACATTCACTCACTCTCTCATTCACACACTCACTCACTCTCTCATTCGCACTCACCTTCTCATTCACATTCTCTCTCTCTCTCATATTCACACTCACATCACTACTCTACATTGACACATACCTGACAATTTAGGTAAGGTCTGCATTTATGGACCTTGTACCTACCTATTCAATAATTGATTTTGCTGGGCCTTTACAGCTGTATTATTAAAAAAGTTAAGGGTCCTTTTCCCTGCTTAAGGAAATATGGTACTCCGTAACTCAATTTTCCTTCTCCCTCACCCTAAACCCATTTATGCAGCATAAGCATTGTTGGTACACTGAGGGTTTTAGCTAAGGTAGGGGAGGGTTGCATTAAGAGAACCTGTTCTCATGATTTTCTTTAGAACACTCTACATAATTTGTAATTGATTGCAGATGGCTGGAAAATACACACAAAGTTGCAGAAAACCTAGTCAGAAGTTTAAATAGGCAGACATTCCCTGTCAATCACCTGCAAAATTCTATATATTTTCACCCTATATTTATAACCTATATTACACAATGAATTAAAGAATAGTACTGGGTATTGTGTGCATGCTTATATATCAATGTCCCTATTCCTTTCCCAGTCACCAAGACACTGCAATTCACTCAACTGCCCTAACCCCTTAAGCCTTCACGTTTTACTAGTCTCGGTTCTACTTCATTTGCTCCCCTCTTTTCCCTTTTCACTACCATACTATCTGAAATGTTCTCTTATCCTTGACATAACACATTTTATCCTAATCTTTAACTCTTCTTTATCCTTTTTGCCACAATACTTTTCCATAGTACTATATGACCTTTGATGCCTAGCACATTATTTATTCCAAACATTAACCATGCATATATATATAATATATATATATATATATATATATTATATATATATATATATATGTATATATGCATAGATATAAATATATACATAAAAAAATTAACAACCAAACAAAATAAATTATAGAAATAATAGATGAATGTATACTGTAAGGTAAGATTATCCTGTCATAATCAAACTTGTAATCACCAATTAAATTTTTTCAATAAGTAAATATGCCTGTGTTCCATCTAAAAGTATTTGAAACATATGGTATTTGTTGAATACCCTAAAACCGTATGGTAATCAAATAAGAAAAGAGATTTATCAACCTTCCCCTGTGACCTAGGCACAAGGGCCATGGTAAGCATCCATGAAGAAAATAAATGGAACAAATTTAGTATTATGAACCCGGACAGACAACACGTTTCAAAATAAGTAATCTTTTTTTGTTACGAATTCTGCCAGGATTACCAACTCCTCAGGGAGAGGGAAGGTCTGTGGTATCTATTTTGGAATATGGAAAGATTTGGGTTACTTCCATAAGCTAAGGTTTAGGGACCCTTACGGTTTTCATAATACACCTGTTAGTTTTCATTATCAAAAGATGACAAAAAAATAAAAAAACAAATTCTCTTAATACAAAAATAATACACTAAATGACATATAAAGAAACAATAACTAGGAAAATTCCTAATGTTGCCTGATGGTCTACAATTTTTTTACAAAATAAATTTTTACATTAAAGTGGACCCAAAACACTTAATCAAAAGGGAGCGAGCAAAATGAATCATTTGTGAATTAACCTTTTCTTACATGTTGATATTCTGCGTTCATTCAAATGACGATTTTTTTAATCTACATTGCACAATATAATCAATGGAAACGGACAATGCAAGAAAGAGATCCCTTGGGCAGAATGTTCAATATTCATAATATTTCATTATTTTCATATACTGCAAAAGACAGTACTGCCAACATTTCATTCTCTAGAAAATTCTAGAAGAAGGCTTTAATACAAGGACCCATCAATCTGTACCCTCGTAAAGTGTGTACTGTAATCAAGGAAAGCGAGGCGTGTCTATTGATTGAGATAGGATAACTACAATATACTACTCTACATACTGCCGTTAATACTGCTACTCCCCTGCTTGTTCCTTTAATGGTTAAAAAGACAAACATTTTCACTGGAGAATCATGAAATATGGTTTTCATATTTAAACTCTTCAACACTACTCCCTCTACTAAATTGGATAGGACACTCCCCACTGAGAAAAGAACAAGTAAAAAGATTCAACTTTATTATTTTACTTCAGGTAAAATGTGTAGATTTCTTTGTACATAACAGTTCAAAATATGTACTGACAAGTCATATCATTCAAAAGAATAGTAATAATCTGAATGTCAAATCCATCTACTACTAGAATCTTTCAAAATATCATCTTGCCGAGTTATTCAACAGATACTTGCATTTCAGTTATACAATAATGTATGCTGTCTTGTAGTAATTACTGATACTTCATGTCGTCCTTCGGCAAACACCTCATGAAATCCTGCAGCAAATAATAAAATCTTAGTAGATGTCTAGCAAATATTAAAATTCTACCTGGACTTGCTGCTTCCTATGTGTGTGTACATCAGGAAGTGGAAGTTAACAAACTGTTTGAATATTCTGTCATAATGCAGTTCATGGATAGAGTATCTATTCAAACCAAAATATAAAAAATAACAAGCTTCACAGTATTACCTCTCCTCATTTTACATTTGCAAAGTACAACCATTGTTGTTCTTACTTCAATAGCAATATATTTCTGTAATGCAGTATATGATTGCATTCTACATTAGAAATAAAATCTGAGAACTTTCCCTACTATACTGCAATAAAAAAATAACCTAACTATATAGAAAACGAGTTGTTCACTCTACTTTTTAGCAAAAGGGTAACAAATGCCGTATTCAAGACTTCATTGTACCTCAACCTGCATCTCACACCTAGTCATTTGGTATTTTTCATTGTTGAATTATAGTAATTACGGATTAACCACACCATTTTCCAGTGTATGAATTCTTGTGCACACACATAAAATATATATTACTATTGCATCATTTGCAAAGGCAATTCATAATATGTCTACTTCCTTCTTGTTAGATATCTATATATGCCAGATTAACAGTTATTGCAATTGTCATGACACTCATTCCAAAGTACATCTTAGCATATAATACTTGAGTCTTTCAAGAAGTAATTCCCGAGTTCTATATATAAAATAAAATTCTAAGTTCCCGATCCACCACTTCCTCTCCATGACTGAATAACCCCCTCTTATTTTACATTGTTGTTGAGTGAAACATTATGAATAAAACCAGATTTATTTCTAAAAATAACATTTTAAAAATCTGACATATACAGTGTAATGGTCAAAAGTACATCTAAACAGCCCTCATTTCCTTGTTCTGTTTATTATACATACTAGGTTTATGTTGGAATTTACGCAAAATACCAAGAATATACAACCGCTCGAGGTATGCTTTTTACCAACAAGTCATGGTCTTGATACGAATAATATACAATGGACACATTGTAAACATTCTAAGAATCAATAGAATTGTAAAATAAAAGCAATGCTGATTTCTTTTAACAATCATTTGTGGAATTAAAACAAGCTTGTATAGCCTCCAAACAACAAAGGAATAACTATCACGAATCAATTTCAAAATCACATTTACTGATATTCCAGTTGGTTTTCTTTGCTGAAGTTGAGATGGATATGTTTCCTAGTCATGACTGATATATTCAAGATGAATAAAATAATAATAATAATAATAATTAAATAAAGCTAAAAATTATTGCATCTTAACAAACATCGCACTTCGAAAGCAAATGGTGTACTTTCACTCATTACATTACATCCTTTATTTCTTACTTCATTCTTTTCTGTTGTCTGGCTCTGTAAATATCACTTGTTAAAATGGGTTTATTCCCGTCTTCATCATCTGAATCGTCACCAGGGACCAGTTTTCTCTTCCGGTCTCCACTGGGTCAACTACCCAGTGCACGGACTTGGAGAGTTCAAACAGTCTGACATCATGGCTTCCAGTAGTTGACCATTGACCCCCTGGAAATGACACCATTTGAAAATGTAAAATAAAATAATAAATGGAGAAATTCTCAGCACATTATACTGTCCTGCTTTTATGAATCTCATGATCTTATCTTATAAAGGACATCAGCAAACTTATTCAAGTGTGTGTGTGAATGTATCTATGTACATATATTTATATATATATTCCAATAAATCTTACCTTGTTCAGGAAGGTTCAGTCTCATGAAGAGGTCAACCAAAGCATCGAGCTTGACAAAGGGGCCTCGGAAGCAATGAGGTGGCGGCAGCATGGACAGCAGATTGGCAACAGCAGGAGGTGGGGGGAAAGCACCACCTATCACAGGATAATGTTCAGTGTGATTGATGAAAATATAAGAAGCATTGTAAAAGTTGCTTTCTTGAACACTACTAAGACGAGAATGTAAAATTAAAAAAGGCATACAGACTTTTCTAAACTCTATATGATTTCTGAGGGAATTAAACAAAATTAGAAATACTTACAAGATCTACACTGAAGCAAGATATCCATTATCAATGAATTTGATTATCAATAGAAATTCGCTGTCTATTACAATACCAGGATGAAAAGACAAAAGAATTATTACTTCAAAATAAGTGACTATGAAACTCTGTTTAAAAGTTTTAAAATAAATTATTATACATGGAGTCACTAGTGATTGTCTTGTCACCTACTAGCTTGCAAAAAAAGCAAAACAATGATTAATAACTCCAAAAAAGAAATAAATAAATAACGCTTAATTCACAATCAGTACCAGAACGGATGCTAACGGCAATGCAATTCCCAACTCCTGAAAACCAATCAAAAAGAAAGGCAAATACAGCACCTTTGACTGGGTGTTCTCCAGGGATATATTTGGCCTTGGGTTTGAAGGGGATCATCTGAGAGAAGTCGGGTCTTGCATAGGTCGGCTCCTGAGAGTCGTGAATTGACAATCCTCGGGGAACATTTGGGTTGATGATCATGTTGTGGGTCGAGATGTCACGGTAACCAATGGCTCTGGAAGGAAAATCTGATTTGAGAAAGGCTATCAAATCCTACATTTTATGCCATTTATTTCATAAACTCCACACTGTTAAGGCTTACCCCTTGCAATCACAAAAAAATCATATCTTATAATACATTTCATTTATAGCAAATACACAATACAAATCAGCAACTTGGAACAAATCCAACCGCATAAAATATAAACATTTGACCAATGAAACAAAAATAGACTTACTTCAGTTCAGGTGGTGTGCAAGGGTAGAGGTCCATGAACTTGTACCGATCAACTAGCTGTGCTGTGTCCTTGCCCTCAAACTCTTGCAGCTGTGAAATGAAATATTCATAAATGCATGTACTAAGAGACTGCATCAAAGAGAATTGGCCAAAAAAAAAATAATATATATATATATTCAAGCATAAAAGACTAAGATAACACCTATGTTTAAAAATATCACAAACTTGAAGGCTGAAACAACTCTGAACAACACTGCATGTACATATAGAGCTACATCCATAAATAAGGAGACAAATAAACAAACGATATGCAGTTTCTCTAATATTTACTGGTGGCTGGGGACTTACCTTCTGCAAAACATGAGCTCTTCTCTTCTCGACCTTGACAATCGACGCAAGATCACCAACATTGCACTCAAATTCCAGGAAACGGTTCCACAGCCCGACAGTGTCCTCATTTTTCAGCTGTCCTGAGGTTAGCACTCTTTCAAACAAAACTCTTGTGTTGTTATCGTCTGGAAGTAAAAGAAAGATAAGAGTGAATATAGCCTTGGATATTATCTGTACTACTATGATTACTAATATCAGTAAAATAATAACCATAATAAGGATGATGAAAATAACAAACAAAATTATACATATAATTGGTATAAATAAAACTTTTCGTTTTAGAAAGAGGTCAAACTTGCTGAAGAGAGAAATGACATGTTAATCAATACTTTATAATCAAGTAAACTTCATAGTGACAGGAAGTAATACATATTTAAAATTACAATCTGCATCAATTACTAAATAATGCCTTCTCGGTAATCATCGCTTAGTTGTATCTCAATCATCATTAGATTTATTTAACTATTCAGTCATTAAATTTTCCTTTAATGACTATAACATGCATACAACTTTTGGTAGACTTTCAAATAAGGAGCATGTATACTCTTTTATTGAACTCTAGGCTACATAAAATTATTTTTTATTATGCAAATAATGGGTTCAATCCACAAGGAAACATATTATTAATCCTACAGTGCAACTCCTGAACTTAAACAAATTAGCCCATTCAAATGGGATAAATAGTCAACAACCATGATGTAGTCTGCATTATCCGGGCACTTCTTGAGTCCCAGTTCAAATATCCTAAAAGCAATGTCTTTATTCTTTGTGCAGTAGTACTCCATGAGAGCAGCACCAACGTAGATGTGGAATTTTGTCCGAACGTCCTCTCGCGCTTTCTTGAAGACCTCTCTTGTGGATTTTATTCCTTCTGCCCGTCGAGCAAATTTCATATACTGAAGGTAAGCCTGCGAGAGGTAAGAAAAAAACAAAAAACAAATTAGGTAATAAAAACAGGGAAAAAGTAATCAGCTTCCAGTGTTGTTTTTCCGAACTGTAAAAGCAGACTTAACACATTCCCTTCATGGGAAATACATACATATATACTTATACCAAATGTTCTATTGTTATTATCAAACCAAGAATAAAATTAATATTCTCATATTATTATTTCTGACACATAGATTATCATTGTCTAAAAGGAAAAAGGGAGAAAGAACCACAGAAAAGGATGTGACATTGCTATAGTTATAACTGTTACAGGAACTTACCATGCACTGTGAAATCACATAATTTCACTCATACCTTTTCCACCACATGATTCTGCGAACTTACCAGTGTTGGATCAATATCCTCCATTTCTATGTACCGCTGATAAATTTTATGCACTTCTTGGTATCTCAGGCGGGATTCCTCAAAATCTGCATAGGCAAAGTACAAGAGCTGGTTCTTTCTCAGAGGTCCAGAGATAGCACGTTCATAGATTTGAGCTGCTTCCTCACTGAAGATTTTGCTGGCGTTCACATCCTGTGGAGGTAGGTTGAATTAACAGACATCATTAACATCATAAAAAGAAATTAATAATAATAATAATAATAATAATAATAATAATAATAATAATAATAATAACAATAATGAATAAATTACTATCTACACTTTAAACTTCTTGACTTTACTCTCGGGTACTTTGATGGTATACTAAGATTTAGAAAACGTGATCTATACTCAAAAAAAAAAAAAAACACACACAAAGTCACTCACCCCTTTTTCCGATAGGAGTTTGGAGGACTCTTGCAAGAAGAGTGCCGCTTCGTACCAAATATCCGGATGATAGGAGAGGCAGAGGAGGCACTGCTCATACGCAAATCTCACACGTTTGGTTACCAACGTCTGGTCATCCGTTCTCAAAGGGTTGTCTTTCTCCCATCTAATATATCGCTTCCAGATTTCAACCTGTAAAAAAGATACAGCCCTTTGAACAAAACTTATATCACAACTAAAATTATAATATCTGCTGATTTAGCATAAAATAAGACTATATCTAAAAAATAAAAGATTCATGATACATTTCTGATCTCCCTAAAAAAAAAACAAATATGAACACATTTCTTCCTACTTAACTATAAATCTTACTCTCTTTTCATTTAGTTAATATGACTGTACTTTAATCAGCAGCATAACACAAGTTAATATAGTTGTGAAAAGTACAGGTAAGCATTAATAATTTCATCAGAAATACTTTTACATCATTGGTCTTATTTTACATTATCTATCGATCCTATTCCTAACTTTCTCAACAATGGTCACGTTCCTCTGTTCTTTCTAAAACAATTTAAATAATTAGATTTCTCCCCATTACTAAACTATAAATGTTTATATCTATTCTTTACAATATCTAAGAACCAAATTTACTAAATTTCGGCACAAAATACAACCAACATATCCCATTCATCACCTGTTTTGTTTCTTCGGGTAGACCTGAAGGGGGCACACTTGGCAGATGACGGTTCAGACCTCTCGTCTCGGTCTCCAACTCCTTTCCGACTCTTCTTGCATTCATGTAGTCCCTTCCTCGCTCAATGTTCATCTTCTCGGCAATAATGGGATTTATGTTCTTCTCAAAGTCCAGGTAATCTTTCCATAGCTGCTCAATGTTGGCCATTGGGGTCACAATGCCTCTTTGGTACACCTGTGTTGAAAATATGCATTTTAAGCATTTTAAAACAGTAATACTCATTGTAAGAAGAAAACTAATATATAAGAGTAAGTATAAAGGTGAAAATAGGGAGGGGGCTGATAGGAGGGAGGGGGAGGGGAGGAGGGGGGGAGGGAGGGGAGGGAGGGAGGGGAGGGGGAGGAGGGAGGAGGAGGAGGAGGAGGAGGAGGGAGGAAGAGGAGGAAGAGTAGGAAGAGGAGGAGGAGGAGGAGGAGGAGGAGGAAGAGGAGGAGGAGGAGGAGAGGAGAAAGAGGAGAAAAGAGGAGGAAGAGTGAAAAGGAGGATGAAGAGGAGAAAGAGGAGGAATGAGGAGGAGAAAGAGGAGGAAGAAGAGGAAGAGAGGGGAAGAGAATGAGGAGGAAGGAGGAGAAAAAGAAGGATGAGAGAGAGAATGAGGAAGAGGAGAGAGAGAAGGATGAGGATGAGGAGGTGGAAGAAGGGAAGAGGAAGAAGATGAGAAGATAAAGGAAAGATGGAGAAGAAGGAGGAGAAGGAGGAGGAGGAAGGGTAAAACTGAGAGAAAGAGAAAAAAAGAGAGGGAAGAGAAAAGATAAGAGAGAGGCAAACGCATAAGACGAGAGAGAAAAAAAGAGGAGGGAGACAGGGAAAGACACTTAAATGCAACGCACCTTTCTGACTGCCATAATCTTCTGGTTTTCTGCATAGGAACCTACAACCTCGACATTCTTCAGCAGATTTGCATAGTCATTCCACAGAGTATAGGAATTGTAGTCCATTCCGATCTTATCAGTGGCAAATTCATACGCCTGAGACAACTTCTCCCTGGAAACAAGAAATAAACACTTAGTGCAATAGCAATTGTTTTAATCAAACACTTGCATTAATCACTCATATCTATCTGCACATTCCTATTCCTCATGTTGAGGCCAATTTCTTCAAAGTAAAACACTCATAAATAGTGAGAAGTTATTTGTGAGAAATTTTTATTTACAACTGTTTGCCGATTCAGTTTAATTTACCTGTATGTGGGTAAGCTGGATTTTGTCTCTTTCACGTACGTAACATACAGTCGCCAAAGGTCTATGTTGAGCACTTTCGTTAAACATCTCTGGAACAACTGGAAATAAACAAACTTATTAATATCTAATAGTTTAATAGGTAGACAGACAGATCGATAGATAGACAGATAGATTTATAATTAGCTGGGAAAAAAATGCTTTATCCCCATATTATATACAGGAACATGGAATGATTTCTTCCCACTCGGCCTCATAATAATTGATAATAAAAACAACATAATGGCGGAAAAGCCCTCAATACACATAGAAAATCTATTTGAAGGCGAGACAATAGTCTGAAAACCCTTCTGGATTTCATTTTCAACTCGGGTAGATCACCAGTATCCCTAAAATACCAACATAATTACCAAATACATTCATACTGAGTGTCCAGCAAATATGTCCTTTGCTTTTTTAAGTAACTCAATTAAATATCCAAGTGATGCTATGACTGCACTATGAAGAGCAGCAGTTATATTTACGAGAAGTGCAGCATCAGTAATTGGTAATACCTGTAAAAGTAAATATAATTCCCTATCTGCTATATATCATTATAAAGTTAGTAGTGGCCTGTTACCTATAACTACAAATGTGTATAACAAGATTCATTTATCAACTGCATCAAACAGTCCTTTGCACAATGTTAACATTAATCTTTCCTCTCCAATCTTTTTTTATTTTCATCTTCACCCCTTTCTTCATATGTATGTATCTATGTCTCTCTCTGTCTCTCTGTCTCTGTGTGTCTGTGTGTCTGTGTCTGTGTCTGTCTCTCTC